CCACTAGATGGCAGTATGGCATGCCATTGTATCATGTTGCTGCATGCAGCTGATTTGACCATTGAAGTGCATTTATTAAGTAAAAGGTCAACTGAGACACACCTTTACTATAAAGTCGCGCAAACAAATAAATGTTTTAGGTGGTTATCTTGTTAAATTTTGAAGAAATGGACAGCGAGTCGTCCCTCTGCGCGTTCAGGTTTCCGTGTTTCGGCTTTTGAAATGCAGCTGATTTGACCGTCAAAGTGCATTTATTAAGGAAAAGTTCGACTGAGACACACTTCTGATATGATTTCGAGCAAACAAATAATTGTTTTTAAGTGTTAATCTTGTTAAATTCTTGTTTAAGGCCCACATTTTCGGGTTGCAGCGGTGACGCGTAACAAATGCGACACGTCAGCAGTGGCGCATAATAGATGCAACGTATACGGCAAAGCGATGTATTTATGGATTTTTCCACTTTATTAGACATATTTGGACCGATGCGACTTATAGGGCGGTGCAACGTTTACGGTGGTAAATACGATATACGAACTCTAAATGTGAATTAAATTGAGACTGAAGTGCTGTGGAGATGACTGCCTTCCATGTTTGTGCAGAAATATCTTAAACAGCCTTAAAATAGGGTGGCAACATATGTTTTTGCAAGGGCTGCTGCCACTTTGTGCCACCCACTAAAACCACCACTGCTATCATGCATAACACCTCTGGGATGAAACTTTCTTAATGCTTGTTTATGGATTCTTGGTTTTTCCAAAACATCCAACAACCACCCCCACGCTCCCTCACCGTTCAGACCCACATGACGTTGGTTTGCACGGCTCCACCAGCGACGGTGTGTATGGGTGTGTGTGGTGGGGAGGGGGTGTCTGCCTCTCTCTGACTGCATTTATCGGCGTCTGGCATCGCTGTAATTTCAGTGTTCAGATGCAATCGCTCCCAACTCCCCCCAGGAGTAAACAATAACAAGCTCAAATACAATAGACAAACAAGGTCTGCAGGACATGTATGCACACACACACACACATATGCACACAATAATAATAACACACCACATGACAAGAAACTTCCTTCTGTTTTCTGTGAGTGTTTGGCAGAAACTGTTGCCACAGACCAAATCATTTCAATCTGCATCAACACAGAAACACGGTGATAAAGATGAATGACTGGGCTCAGATCAGGAAGTCAAGCTATTGATTGGAAATAAAACTTTTGTCACATAAACTCCATTTATCCAGGAAATAAGCTAGTAGTGTTTCATGCTTACATACTTGGACATTTTAGGTGGATTCAGGGTGTTTTTAAAATAAAATAAAAAAAGGCCTCACATTTCTTACCAGATGCTGCCACCTGGTGGCCGATTTAAGAACAGCACCTCACACATACAACTATAGAATAACGCTTTTTTTTTGTTTGTTTGTTTCATTTACATTCTTACATTTAAATAGTATTACTTTGATATGCAGCACCTACACCCCCACAACCTCCTCCTAAAGTAGTGGTCCCTTATTAGGAATCACCCAGATGTCCAAGAAGATCCGATACCATCTAACTCAGGGGTCTGCAATCTGCGGCTCTGGGGCCACATGTGGCCCTTTGGTCCCTCTGCAGCGGCCCTTTCAAGATTTGAACAAAACTAACACAAAACTGAATTTTATTTAAATGATTGCCAACAATGAAAATGGCTAGTTTTAGCAGATTTCCTGTCATTTGTAAATAAGTGAAGAATCGTACAAACACAAGGTGTAAAACACGAGGATTACATCGTGCTAGTTGTTTGTTAGCCACGCTAAGTCGACTTCCAGCCTCTCAGCGTGATCGCTCTCTCAAAACCACCAGAATGTTTTGGAATATCTTTAAGGCAAACTGCAGAAAAGGAATATTTTTTAACACTAAGAATACAACGCAAAACTGCAAAGTCAACATAAAGTATTTGTTTTCTTTAAAAATGTAACAATATCCAATAAACTGGCCTAATTTTAACCTGTCTTTAACTTTATGTTTTAAGTAGGATACTAAATTATTCAACTATTAAGAGAACTCACAAACATGCAGAGTTCAGTGTTTAAATTTTTATAAAACGTTTTAAAAAAATTATAAGAATCTGCTCTTTTCTTTTGTATTAGAATGTAAAAATATCAATAGATGTAATCTCCAACAAACTTATGGCCCATGGGCCACCAGTTGACGGTACACAGATGTAGCAGGTTTAGCAGCTCCAAACATCATAATTAGTAAGCAAAGTGGCAAAAATAGCTCTTTTTTTCCCACAAAGGTTGCAGACCCCTGATCTAGAGAAAGCAAAACCCCAGTCCACAGTGCAGGGGCCCGTAGCTGCCATCAACTTTGACACGGCCCAGAACATTGAGAGTTTTGTTTGTTGTTTATAACTTCGCCTCTCCATGAAGTCCAGCAGAGCCTTCCTCCCAACCATTCATCTTCTGATTTACTCCAGTAGATTTCCAGATATAGTTATATGCAATTCTGAAATGCGGGTATGCGCTCAATGTAAACAAATGCTGCTGAATCTGCCAAACGCCACGTGGAAACCTGAGCTGCTCTAGTCTGGCTGTAGTCTGTGTAGGTGAACAAATTCAGCAGAATCAAACGAGCGTCGAATGTGAATCTACCGCTAAACCACCAAAAAATACAAAAAGTATTATTAATGAGCGAGACAACTAGATTGTTGTACCGACGTGATGCAGCAAACATCAACTGCACCTCCACAAATCACATCACTGAGAAGACGATCTTGTCTAATTTCCTGAATCCAATAGGGTGACACAGATTTGATCCTAAACTAGCGTCAGCTGGAACTCGGAGAGCAAAACAAGTTTTTACTAACAGACATGTTGGATGTTTTGTATTAATACGAGCTATCTGACCACACAAACTCTACACTTTAATTTCTACACCCAGATTTGGTAGAAGCTGTTTTGGAAGTTCTGTGTTCAGCTTTAAAGACTGCGCAACAACATTGTTAGCTGGTGCGGAAGAGAAGGGCCTAACTGGAATATAGTTTTGTTGTTGGTCAGTGGGCAGCCAAGACGGCCTCAGACAAGTGACTCTTTGTGTTACGACGACTTTATTCTTCCGTTATAAATCCGTGGTCTTCGTCACGTTGCGTCCATTGTCTGCTGTGTATTAACTAGCTTGAAAAAAGTAAGGAAAACTCACAATTCCTAAAAGATGCCGTTACCATAACACAAGATTAAGTCCTTAAAATATCTAAACTTTTTTTTTTTGTCATTAAAATATGGAGACAATTTGAAGAGGAACAAAAGATTCTCATTCCGTTATGTTGTTTGTTTTTAGTTCCCGACAGATAAAAATAAAAAGTTGTTGCTGCTGATCAAAAACAGTATTGTGTTGGTGTTTTTGTTGATTGATTGATCACAACATTCTCCTTGAAAAACTGAATAAATATGGCATTAGAGGGTTAGCACTACAGTGTATCCAGTTATTTGAATAATAGGAGACAGTTTGCACAGGGAAACAATGTAAGATCTGAATTTTGTGTTAATTGATGTGGAGTTCCTCAAGGCTATGTGTCGGGACAAAAGTTGTTCATTTTGTATGTGAATGATCTGGTTGATGTGTCAGGGCTTTTGAAGTGTGTTTTATTTGCAGATTATACATTTTTTTTGTTCGGGTGCTGATATTGAACGGATGTTAGAAATGATACATGCAGAATTCGTAAAAATACAAACTTGGTTCCAACTTAATAAGTTATCATTAAATTTGGAAAAAACAAACTACATATTTCGTAATAGAAATAAAATTATCGAAGCCCCATTTAAAATTGACATTATTGAAATTCAGAGTTAATGACAAAAAATTGGGGGGTGTTGTTATTTATGAGAATCTGACATGGAAATCTCATGTAAATTACTTCAGAATAAAAATAGCAAAATCACTTACATTACTGTATAAAGTAAGTTTTTGAATGACAAAGTTTTGTATATATTGTATAATGTAATGATTGTTCCATATTTAATCTATTGTATTGAAATTTGGGGAAAAGCATACAAAACAATTAAATCTTTTTATTTTACAAAAAAGAGCTATAAGAATTATTAGTAGGAAGTGCTATGGTCACCCAACAAATATTATTTCATCAGTTGAAATTATTAAAATTTAGATTTGGTTGAATATAGTATTTTACAAGTCATGTCATAAAAATTTTAACTTAAAAAAAGAGTCATTATAACCTTAAGGGAATAGAAATGTTTGTAAAACCTCCATTTAGAACGAGTCTGAAGGAGCTGTTTTGTAATTCATGGAGTAGAATTGTGGAATTGCCTTGATATCACCATAAACATTTCTAAAACAATTTATATGTTTAAAAAAATAAGTTACATTCGTAAGTATGGTCCCAAGTGAAGGATATCTTTTTTTTGTTGTTTTCACTTTGGAGATTGTTCAAGCCCAAGTTGTTATTTGCTTGTAGTTATTTTATATTTAATTAAGGGGCAGATATTATAAGAATTCTCTTCTTTCTACACTTTTCATTTCAATTTTTTTCTTTTTAATGAATTTGTTTTGTTTTCTTTGAAATGAATGAATGAAATGAAATATATTCAAATAAGATTAGCAGGTCACGAAAAATTCTTCCCACAATTCCTTGCAGCTGCACTTTTCAACCAAGTCAATGTGCAAAGCGTGAGCAACCTGTAAAACATCTTCAGGCTTTAAATATTTACTTTTGAAAGCAAGTAGTCTTATATGAAATACATCAAAATGTGATTTTTTTTTTTTGGAATAATAATAAATTGTGTTGCAAGTACAGAACACATCAAAGTGAAGTTTGTCAAACGTTAAAGAAAAGTTCAGAGGAAAACACTATAAATTGCAGCATTTTTGACTCAACTGTAAATAGGGTCTATATTTTACTGAGTTATCCCGTTTTAGTCTTAATTTAAAAGAAAAGTCATGAATTCACCTGAAACGCATTCATCCCAATCTACATGTAGTGAAAGAAAAATAGACTTCAGCATAAATGACGATTCTTTGTAAGTTTATTTTCTTCATATATTTTACAAACAGAAGCACAAATGTTCATTAGACTCGACAACAACGTGTCTGGAGGACTCTGAAGAGCTATCGGTGTGGACATGACGATCCCACCCACTTATCTGAAAAACAAAAAAAGAAACGGATCGTGAGAAGTCTTCGGACGTGGCTGACGTTTGCGACGTGAAGCTAAAGGGCGTCTAGTCGTCTGAATCAAACTACGACGGACTCGAGAGGGATCCTAATATTAAACCTCGCTCCATCGTGTTACCTACTCTGTTACGACAAGCATCAGTCCCTGAGCTCAGCAGAAGGCGAGGTGGAGGTCAGAGCGGAGAATTAGTCATGAAAGACAGCTTTTTAAAATTTAAAGACTTTTAAAGTAAAGAAGGGAGAACAGGAAACCAGGGAGGATGATAATGAGACGGTGAGTCAGAGGAAAAATAAGTGGATGAAGGACTGAAAGGGGCGGAGTTTAAAGAGTGGAACGATAAAGCAGGATGACACGATGAGAAACTTACAGGGCAGCAGCTCCGGAGATGATCTCAATCAGCTCCTTGGTGATGACGGCCTGTCTGGTGCGGTTGAAGGTGAGGGTGAGCTTGTCGATCATCTCAGCTGAAGAACAGAAACGAAGAGGTTCAGCACCGAAACACAGCAAGAACACCTGAACATTCATCACATGGACGACCTGAACTAAATCTGGGGGTTCTAAATGATCCATTTTGATCCTCTACAAAAGTTCATCGCATTAAATGCTCTTAAAAAACAACTCTTTAAGAAGGTCAACATTAATCAATAATATTAGAAGCTGATTTTACAAACCATACCAGCTTCTCCACCCACAAAAGAAATATATTCTAACGTAAAAAAACAACATTTTATTTACATAATGAAATATTTTTGTCCCCATCAATAAATTTCTAATTGAATACTTAAATATTTGTCCATTTCTTGCCAACTTAAATGATATTTTTCATTAAAGTCTCAAAGACATCGCGACTAATTTAGGTTGGCAAAAACAATATTTAAATCATTAAAATGGTCAAACAGTTAAACATGGTTCAGCTCTTAGAAATATAAAAGGTTTTTTTAATGACTGTATTTTGAATACTTTGTCATTTTAAATTGATTTTTAAAAATAATATCTGATCTTTGTAAGACAACAGAATAATTTTTTTTTTTTTTTTTTAAACTGAATGCCTTTTTTCCACAATTTCACCAGTGAAATCCAGTTTACATCCCCAGTCTGCTCAGTGTGAAAACCATCAAACCATTTCAGTCCTGTTGATCTCCCAACTCTTGCTCAGCACCGGTAAATGTTGACAAGATGTGAGCCATGTTGGATTTATTTTTCACAGCTGAGCTCGCCGATTAAGACCCAAAACATCACTTTTGTGGTTTTTCAAAGCAAGATTGCACACGAGAAAAATAAATAAATCAATTGTACACAACACATGGTTGTCAACTTGAATATTAATCATGTGATTGGGACAGTACGGGATACTGTACAGTAAAAAATTTAAAACATATATAATACTTCGAACAGGTGCCGACATGTGGTTTTCTCCCAATAAGTCTAGACTGTATCGCCACTCAAAACGACTACATTTCCCAGAAGCCAACAGTGTCCCACACAGAAGCCCCGTTGCCTTCTGCTGAAATACTAAAAGGAAAGTTTTTATCTGATCCAAAACAGTTTGGTCCATGTTCACAAAGTGACTTAGGCGCCCAGCGGATGCAGAGAGCCACATGGAACCGACCAGAACCGGACCTCCAGACTCATCGGTGAATCTGAGTGCTGCACGCCGGCCCACGAGGCCTTCCAGGCGGGGGGACGCCGCCCAGAGGTCCGGCTCCCTCCAAAAGCGCTTTGGTGCTCAAGGGCTGCAGAGAGCCGACCAGAACCAGACCAGAACCGACAAGGTAGGTCTGCCAGACTGGAACCGAGCCGCTGTTTCTGCAGAGCTGGTGAGTACATTTTTGCAGTACTGTACAGTACATATATGCATGTCGTTAAAATGAGGTGTATTTAAGAGTTTAGTACATTGCAAGAGTGTGGGTAAAGCCTTAAAATATGTATAAATACTAAAATAAATATAAAAGCCCTACTTTGCAAATTTTCACTTGTTGCGGGGGGTCTGGACCATAACCCCCGCGATAAATGAGGGACTACTGTATTCTGCAACTGGCAGTGTTGAACGGGACCAAACCGACACCGTTGCATGTGAGAACTTTGTGCATACAATGAAAGATATTGTTGATTACAGTGCTCAGAATACAAATATGATCGAAAAACAACAAAAGCAGCTGTGATTTGCTTCTGCACCGTTAAAATTCATGCTCACCAGAACGTGTAGATTCAGAAAATCATAAAAAACTGAGATTAAATTGTTCTTAGAGAAGCTTTGCTGAGGTTTGTTACATTTAAAACAATCTTTTAGGTTACCGTGTAAGCTTCCACTTTGGAAGATACTGTAAAATAAATGTGCCAAAGTTGAGAAATATCACCAAAGCTGCCATTTTGATTATCAGAGAACGAGGACTGTTAAGATTATTTTAGTTAAACGATCAGAAAAATCTGATTCCACTGAACACTGCGTTATAGATCAGATCCAAGCTCCAAATAATATTTTGTCTCTATTACTGATCCAACACTGGAGTGAACAATGAAAGTCCAGACATGTTCCTGTCATTAAATTCCCCTCCAACCTTTCCAAACACAACAGAAGGCTGAATCTTACAGGCGTTCTTGCTGGCGCTGTCCATGGCGGTCATCCTGGCACTCTGCTCGCTGGTGGAGGACTCCTTCAGAGCCAGGTACAGGATGTTGACCAGAACAAACTCCTGGTAGTTTCTGAGCACATCAGCATCAATGTCATCATAGATCCCCACGTTCTCTGTCAGGGGAGGAAGAGATGATCAGCCTCTTTGAATCTTAAGCGACTCTGTTGAGTTCGATCAAAACCACAGTTTCTACCTGAGGAGGCGATTGCATCGTTGGAAAACAGCGGCTTCTTGTCTGCCTTGTAGGAGATAACAGACCTGCACGAACAAAAATGTTGAATTCATATTAAAACTATTTGCAGCTTTAATCCATTTCTTTTCGTTCTGCAGTTACTTAAACGTCACCTGAATCTATTGTAGATGATGGAGCCCCGATCGAACTCGTATCCAGAGTTGAGCAGCTCAGTAGCGATGATGGAAGCATCACTAAAGGTGGGAGGCTTACGGCCGACCTCCTTGCAGTTCAACAAGATGTGTTTCCCATGAGTTCTGATGAGGAGGTACAAGTAAATAAATACAATTTCACTCCAATATCCACTTCTAAACGCAAAGAAATTACATTTTTAAATCTAGCGGCTTCCGACACATAAAGCTTCTCATGCTCAGCCTTTAAAAATCAAAACAACTAAAGTGATGAAATGCTTTTCTGATCGCAAGACGTGAGCTAAATATTACCAGTAGGACAAATTAATGAAGCCACACGCTGGATTCCTAACCGTTAGTACCTGTGCAGCAGGCCTCTCAGCTTGTCTCCCACATTGATCACCATCACCTCCTTGCCAGCACCAGTCAGACTGGCGATTTCACTCTTGATGGTCTTGGCTATACCGGAGTGGATGGCACCACAGAGTCCACGGTCAGAGGTCACACCAACGATCACATGCTTGCTGACCTTATCCTCAGGCGCCTTGATGTCGCCCTTCTCATACAGGGCTGGGATGCAGAAAAAGAGGAATCTCAGTTCAGCAAATGCAATATTATATAATATTATATTAACGGAGAGAACGAAGACATACCCAGAGCACTGGTGCCGTAGACACGTGCAGGCTTCAGCTGCTTCTCGGCACGAGCATATTTGGCTGCGGCCACCATCTTCATGGACTTTGTGATTTTCTGGATGTTCTTGATGGACTTCAACCGGATGGTGACTGAAGAACAAGTGTAGGTTGTTCACAACAGGTCAGAGTTCATGTTTTATAAGAATATTAATCAGCCAGAAATACTGGTGCATCTCTATATATTTGTTCACTTATTTGAAAAGAAGGAAGTCATCTTGCTTCTTCTAATGTCACCATATAAAAATCTATCATTTTTTATTAAAGAAACAAAGAGGCATGGGTCTATTTTTTATCGTTTCTGCTTGAATTCACAAAAGAAAACACATTTATTTACACGAATTAAGTAAATTACAGATAAATAACTACAGAAGTAGGATAAACTACACATTCTTACTGGAAACACACACAAAATATATATTTTTCCTTTAGTTTGTGATGTTCCAGTTGGACCAAAAACACATATTTAAGTTTTATTCAAGTGATTTTCACTACTTGTTATCAAATTTTCACTAATCTATGCAATTACCTGCAAATCATACTATATGCCAGCATGCGCAAAACCTGGTTCACTCATCGATTACTCCAAAATTTATTCAGGAATCTGATGTATTGATCGTAAATAATAAAATGATCCGATTTCTTCTCAGTCCTGGTAAAATAAAATAAAAAAAAGTGCTCCAACTATGCTTCCAAAGTACACAAAAACAGACCCAACTAGAACTGCTCTGTAAACTCGTAAAAACTGTGCAAAGTTTTAAATGTCTGTGCACTACTTTAAAATTAGATATAATAAATATACTACATGCAAGTTCTTGCAGACTTTTATAGTCTTAATCACAAGAATGTATTTTGGCACGTTATTCAGTTTTTAAGTCTATTATGCTTTAACAGTGACAATGCAGTGTGTTATATTGTAATATGTATTTAGCAGAATTTAACAGCACTTACTGTCCTTCAAGGTAGCCATGTTCCTGACCTGCCCACTGTGAACAACAATGACACATAAGCATGTACTGCAATTTTATAAACATGTAACAATATTAGTAACAAGCTAAAGTTAACAATAGCTTTTAGCTGCTGTTAATATAACAAAACATTGCAGTGAAACTTTGGGTTAGCATTAGCACCGAGCCGGCTAAACAAATCCATTCACCCCGCTGTCATTCATTAGCTGCGGCCTACATGTTAGCATGTCCTTCTTCATAAAAAATGGCGTTCGTTACAACGTAAAAGTTAAACACCTGTTTTTACCCGGTGCCTACATGAAGTTCGCATACAAACTATAACAACAAAAGAGTTGAGGAGGCGAATTTGTTTTACCATTGTGGGGAGAAAACCAACACGCTGGTCCTGGCGAACATGATTACGGCTATGAAGGTCAGACACGCAGGACTGCGCAGGCGCAAAGTAAAGTCAGACGACGAATGGACGTTGCCTTCGCGTACTGCTTGAAATGTTGTCAAAATAATTTTCACACTCACAAACGTTAGATCTCTTAAGAATAGTGATGTTTTAGTTTATTTTTAACTCCATATTTTAAGACTGTCATGTGCTGTATCCACTTCTTCCATTTAGGTGGGCTGGAGCCTATCCTAACAGTCTTTTTTGCTTCTTTTTTTTTTTTTTCCATAGATTAAAAATAAACCCTATTAATGTTTATCTCTTCTTGCAAAATGCTTTTAATCCTGTGACTCCAGTGTAATTTATGTCTAAATATTTCAACGTAGAGCGCAAAAAATACTATACTTTTAATATTTTAATACATGAAAATTCGATTTTACGAGCAGTTTGGTAACGCAGCACAAAGTCTCGCGAGATGTTACGGTTGATCGCGAGATTTTTGACGCTTCGCACGCGGAAACTGTTTACCTTGTTAGCTGTTGCGTCTTAGCCGCGAATCTGCGGAAAATTACACCTATTTTGGAAAGAAAACGAGTGTTCTTGTTTGTTAGAAGCGTTCGCAATGGGAAAAGCAGATTTTCTGTCGCCTAAGGCGATTAGCAACCGAATAAAAGCTAAAGGTCTTCAGAAGTTGAGGTGGTACTGTCAAATGTGTCAAAAACAATGCCGAGATGAGGTGAGATGCGAGTCCCTTTTTCAGTCTGTTCATATGTTTTGCTGTTTTACCCTTTTTAAACCATATTTTTGTACTATTTGTTGACAGAACGGGTTTAAGTGTCACTGCATGTCGGAGTCCCATCAGAGACAGCTTCTGCTGGCCTCAGAAAACCCAACAAAGTTCCTGGATTACTTCTCTGAGTGAGTTTGTCACGATGCTGTGAGCTGAATAACTGACCCATAAATAATGGTTTCAGGATGTCTTTTGCAAAATAAATACTACATATATGTTACTTCTTTTACAGTGAGTTTAAAAGCGACTTCTTGGAGCTGCTGAGAAGACGTTTTGGTGAGAAATGGTTGCAAATACTTTCAAACCGCTCTGGAAAATTGTTTAAATTCTGTTCTGTATTTCAGGAACCAAACGCGTGCACAACAACATCGTTTACAATGAATACATCAGTCACCGGGAGCACGTCCATATGAACTCCACAAAGTGGGAAACTCTTACCGAGTTCACCAAATGGCTGGGCAGAGAAGGTAAACTGGATTAAAAAGTGTTTGAGAAATGTTATTTGTCCAATTAACCACTAACTTATTAAATGTTGCCAGGTTTGTGCAAAGTTGATGAGACTCCTAAAGGCTGGTACGTTCAATATGTCGACCGCGACCCGGAGACCATCCGCCGCCAAGAAGAGCAGGCGAGGAAGAAGAAGCAGGATCTAGACGACGAGGAGAGGAGCGCCAAGTTCATCGAGGAGCAGGTCCGCCGAGGCCGAACAGAGGCAGAGGTGAGCAGCGACTGCTCGGATAGGTATCGGCGATAAAGTTACATGTCGGCCATTCCATCAAAATAACACCAATATAAAAGGCTTTGTTTTTTCAACATATATATTTATATAGTGTTAAATCATTTTCAGACTTCTATTTGGCATCTGTATTTGGTAGCAGGCCAAATTGGCAAAGATCATGCAGAAATATGTAGTATTTTAATTCCGAGCTATGTAGTATCTGTAAGTAGGTCTAGGGGGAAAATAATGGTATCGGTTATCGGCCAAATAAGTTTTAACATATCGGCCAAAAATCCAATATCGTGCATCCCTACTAAAATGTATTTGAAATAGTTCTTTGTTGTGATTTATTCAGCAGGAAGATCCAGTTTACACTGAGCTTAAGCGTGAGAATGAAGAAGAAAAAGGTTTGTTTGTCTCGTGTGAGCAGAGCGTTGGCAAGAACGTTGTCCTTGCACTCAACTTTTTTATCTGCTTTCTGTTTTGCAGTTGCTTTCAATCTGAGTGCGCCTGTAGCCAGCTCCTCCAAATCAAGGTACAGACGTCTCAGTGCGACTCGTGCATCATCCTTTCTGCCTCTGACTTGTCCCTTTGTGTCTCCCGTTAGTTCTGTCCTCGGGGCTAGTGCTCTGAAAGCTTCAGCATCGTCATCCTCAGTCAAAAGGAAAGACACGTCCTCCAGCTCAGACTCAAGAGCGGAGAAAAAAAAGAAGTCTGCCCTGGAGGAGATCATAGAGGTTGTGATTGTGTTTTTATTTGTGTTTAGGGCGATGTAATTGAGTGTTGTGATCGTGTTGTCTGATGCCGTTTTTGTTCAGATGGAGGAGAGAAAGAAGAAGAAGGAGACTTCAGTCAGAACGGATTACTGGCTGCAGCCCAACATTGTAGTCAAAATCGTCACTAAAAAGCTTGGAGAGAAGTACCATAAGAAGAAGGCTGTTGTCATGGTAACAACACGATGTGTTCATTTCATGTAATGGTGTATAAAAATCAAAAAACACATGTTAATAGTTGTGGATGCCTCTGACTGCAGGAGGTGCAAGACAGATACGCTGCGGTGGTGAAAATGGTCGGCACCGGAGACAAACTGAAACTAGACCAGAACCACTTGGAGACGGTCATACCTGCTCCAGGTTAGACACTTTTTACACCCACAGGGTTTCTAGAAGTAACTGGATGTCAGATTGTCTAATAAGTTGTGGCGCTTCCTGCAGGTAAACGGGTTTTGATCCTGAACGGTCCGTACAGGGACACCGAAGCCGTGCTCGAGGGGATCGATGAGAAACGGTTCAGCGCAACGCTTACACTGGACTCTGTGCGTATATCACCACTTAATTTGTCTTTATGTATGAAATGTGTGATTTTGGGGGGAAGAAGGGACACGATGGATTGATTAGAGGTCCACTTTGATCCAGAAATGTTCTGTGATGTGAACAAAGATAAGAACATAATTTCTGGACTATAAGCTGCTACTTTTTCCACACGCTTTGAACACTACGGTTAATTTATAGATTTGTTTTTTTTGACGGGCTAACGAGTTTCATGCAGCCAAAATGTTTTAGCCTCGTCACACCCGAGCGCTCGCATAGCTGCCTAATACACGTCTCTTATGGGGGTGGGTTCTCGTGACTCAATGAGACTACCTGTATAAATAAAGGTGGGGATAAAATCTGACCAATGAAATTACCGAACAGGTCACAGTGGGAAGTTCCCCCCTCCCCGTTGTGACCCCCCACAAACAAAACTTTGTTTCCCTCCTCCCTGGGGGCACAACGAAGTATTTGCAGACACTCAATATAAGAGTGAATCGTGCATTAATGTGACACTCCGAGCTCGGTGGGAGGCTTGCATGACCGGCGGCGAGAAATAGTTCACCAAAACTGGCCACATGCGAAAAGCAACTTTTGCTCAAGTCTGCCAGTGGATCCTGACAGAGGAGCATTGTAAAAAAAAACATCCTCCATCAACGACAGGTTTCAAAAGCTGCATGATGAAGAGGACAGCACAAGTAGGCCTGTCGCCATAAACAATAAATCAGTATGATAAATTAAAATTATCAACCTCATTTTCATTTATCGGCTTTATCGTTTGTCTCTCTCGTTCTACTGAAGACACTGGATGACAAAAAGCTCAACTCCAGTGCTTTTCACTGACCCCTCCCTTTCTCATTTCCTTAGCGTAAGAGGGGAGTGAACTATCGCGGCAGGTAGCCAGTCAAGGCGCATCGTCTTGTACCTCTGCAGCATTAGAGCCCCGTGAGGTAGAGTTGCACTTGGGTCCAAATAATCCGTCCCCAGCCCGTAGCCATCATCTCCAATCCACACCCAATCAGACGAATTAACAGTAATTACAGGTCCGAACCCAGAAAAAAACACAACATTTTTAATTAAGCTTTGACTGCTTATGCCACCAACTATTATTAACAGTTGGTGGATGCGTGTGGTTGAGGGGGCAGAAGATCAGAGCTGAGGAGCCATCAGAGCGCATTAAATGCTTCCCCTGCTTCTGCCTGCATTGGACTCTGCTTTGACATGTCGGATATTTTGTGATCTCACCTGTTTGGGTCGTCGGCTGCGTGCGTCCACTGAGTGCAGCGGCTGAATGAACGTCCATTTGGGCTGATGGATCGCTGACAGTAGTCCATCTGAAGCTTAACTGAACCTCTTTCAACCGGCCGGTCAGCGCGCGGTCAAATGGCCACGTGCGGCAGGCCTGTTTGCATATATTGGATCGTCGGCCGCACACGTTCCTGACACAATAAAAAGCCTGACACCGACCCGGCCCACAAATTAAGCACGGTATTTTTATGGCCCGGTCCGAATCCGGGTCGGGCGCAGCCGGGTTCCGGGTTTGGGTTAGAAATGACAGCTCTACCATGAGAAGTTAGCAAGCTAAAGAAAGGCTATTTGATATTGGGGGATCAAAACCGAAATGGAATCGGTTTCAAAGTCGAACGCAACAGCAGCAGTGTGGGAGCACTTCGGATTCAAACCAAATGACCGAGACGAACCGCTGAACCTTGCGAGCCAATATGTCGCATTTGTCATAGAACGGTAGCATGTAGCAATAGCATGTAGACCTGAATAACCTGTATAATCTAATTAAGTTGTCTTTTAATGTGCACTGGCAACAATTTAATTCAAAACTATAAATAAAAACTCAACTTGTTGGTGTTTCTTGCTCGGAATGTGCCAAACTAAAGTAGCTACGGATCTGTTCAGACATCTGCTCTTGTTTAAATGGAGTGTGCTTTTGTTAGTTTGCACTTTTTGTTTATAAAACTGGCAGTTTTGTCCGTCTTCTCTATATAAAACTAATGATTATTATTTTTTTGAAGGGCAATTTAGTTTACAGATTTCATAATTCGTACTGTTTAGGTTGAATGTAGTTTTTTGTTGTTGTTGTTGTATTTAGTTTTTATTCAAGTGGATTTTTTGTTAACGGAGACTGAGAGTTCATTTTATTTTTGTTTTTGGTTGTTTAGTTTATTTTCCAGTGTTAAGTGTTCTTTTGAAATGAAAGTTTATTGGTCTTTGAGAGGACATATTTGCATTATTATGTCATTATCATTACATTAGTTTAAAACGGTCTCCAAACAATATTATCGTTTATCGCAATAATTTCTGAGACAATTAATCGCCCAGCAAAATTTGTTATCGTGACAGGCCTAAGCACAAGATGTCCTCCATCCTCCTGATAGCGATCAATGACTTCCTTGCCACCTACGTTTTTTTTTGTTTTAACCAGCCAGAAAAAACGTTTGCAGTATGTATTTGTTTATGTTATCAGTACGCATTTAATTAAAAGTAAAAAAAAAAACTTTGTGTGTAAATATCTCATGTTACAACACACGTAGCTTATAGACAAGTGTGGCCTATATATGTAGAAGTTATTATTATTATTTTAATTTAGTGGCTCATATTGGAGTGCGCTCTATAGTCCGGAAATTACGGTATGTAGAAAACTTTAAATAACACAAAAAATATAGCTGCACAAATGAATGCAAAGTATTCTGTAAAAACAGAAGTTTATTTTATTATAAGTGGCACTGTTTCCTGCTGTAATGTGTAGCAATATTTTTTAGCGATCCATCCACTCTTTAGCTTGAGTTTAAAAAAAGACCAGGCTCTGCACGTAATACTTTTTTTTTTTAAATGGTCCTGGTCATTTTCTATAATTTAATTCTTTTCAGCAGAATTCTCTTGTCGTTCACCATATCTTACTCTTATTTTTCAAATCATTCAAGTTTACAACGCAGAAAATCTTTAGTACAAATCAGCAAAGAATTTAAAATTGCATCTTTAAGCTCTTTCGTTATAGCATATTGTCACAAAGACATAGTTTATTCCAATTATTTTAGTAAAATATATCAAATAAACACAAAATATCAGTTTGACAGATAGAAATGGTAATTTAACACCAAGTTTTGAGTTTATGGTGATTCTCTTTTTGTCTACAGGGTCATCGGAAAGGGGATAGAGTGGACGTTGCTTATGAAGACTTTTCCAAACTGGCCTGAAAATGTCAAAGATTTTGTTTAATCTTCCGACTGAGGGACTCTACTGTGTCAGAGTTTATTCCCAGACGCTCTTCTCTTATGTATATAAACATCCAACACTTTACTCACCTGGGAAATCAGGGAGACTTGGAACATTATATCCAATTTGTTTTATTTCTGTTTATTTTGTGACACAATTTGTGTTTGCAGATGTAGTGTTCAAATACGTTTGACAAGCATCACTTTTAGATCTGTGCAAATGGAAAAATACTCTTTTTTTTTTTTTTTTTAATAAAGGGGGGAAAATGAAATGTGATTATGCTTGTGACGTTGCTGTTTTGACTCTTTGATCTAATCACATCTCTGAGCTGAGGGTTAATAGCAGCAGGGGGGAGGTGGATGCTCATGGCAGCTGGAGGAAGCTGCTCAGATCTGGAACAATGTAGTCGCTGTAGTGCCCGTCGATGAAACCCTTCCCACTGTTATGAATGAACCAGCAGTACACGTTAGATCCATGTTTTTTGTTCAGTCTGTAGTCCTTCTGCCAGCCCCTGACAAACAAATACACAGATTTAACTTTGTAACAGGAAGTGTTTATAATTGGGGGTTTTTATAATAAAATGCACAAAGTACCTGGTGACATGTAGTATGTTGCTCTTCACCTCCATGGTGGCCTCCGGCTTCAGGGGGTCAGCTCCTTCGTGGATGTCATACACCCTCACATCAGGCTCTTGGGAAAACTGCCCTGTGAGATCAGTTTTTATATTAAACTACACCTGAACTTGTCAAATGGTGACATAAATGCTGCTAGGCCTGTCGTGATAAACAATAAATCAATCGCATGATAAATGATAAACAATATTATCGTGTATCGCAATAATTTCTGACAATCGCCCTGCAAAATTTGTTATCGTGACAGGCCTAAATGCCTGATTGTAAATGGTAAATGGACTGTACTTATAGAGCACCTTTCTATCTTATGAAGATACTCAAAGCTCTTTACAACACAATCTGTGCTCTCATTTATCTATCCATACATCATTCTACTAGATCTGTACATAGACTAATCAGTGCTTTAGATCATATTCATATATCAATGGGACACACATGGGAGGCAATGAGGGGTTAAGCGTTTTGCCCAGGGACACTTCGGCATGTGACTGCTGGTGGAATCAAACCCTCAACTCTTCCATTGGAGGACGACTGCTGTAACCACTCAGCTGCCCTACATTGTAATGATAATGAATGAAAAAATGCTCCTTAAAGTTTTTAGACGTATTTACCACCTCAGATGTTTAGCTCTCAAATTGTCATTATTTTAATACAAAAACATTTTATACCAAAGTGGCTTTAGTAATTATCAACTGATGGCCCACATAGGCCTGTCACGATAAACAAATCAATTAATCGCATGATAAATGAAAATTATCAACCTCATTTTCATTTATCAGCTTTTATCGTTTCTTTGTGTCTCTCTCTTTCTAGTGAAGACACTGGATGACAAAAAGCTCAAATCCCGTGCTCTTCACTGACTCCTCCCTTTCTCTTTAAAATCCATTTTAACCATTCAAAATTACGTTTTTGGATGTTAAGAGCAGCCAAACTAAGAAGCTAAGCTAACAGGCCGACCTGGGAGGGACACATCTTGTCAAAGATCCAAACTGCCTCCTTCCCATTTTTCTTGAAGAGACACGCTGCTCGCTCCCTCAGTATCCATCCTTCAGTTTTATACTGCTGTCTGGTGGTCATAAAAAGGTACTACATGCAAACCAAATTAAGATAGAAAACATTTCTGCGTAAATTTGACAATAATTACTAATTATTGTCAAATTTCAAACAATATCTTTTATTGCAATAATTTCTGAGACAATTAATCGCCCAGCAAAATTTGTTATCGTGACAAGCCTAGGCCCACAGGCCAATAGTGGCAGACTGGAAAGGCACTTTTGATCCACAGGTGTGTGGTGTTAGAGGTTGTTCAGAAACATAAATGCTGCTATTTCCTGGGTTAACTTTGCATTTTAGGCTTTGAGTGTGACTACGAACAAAATGTTTATGTTCCTGATTTCTATAAACATTTTCTACAAATATGTAAAATGGATCTATACCCATATCTCCTGTCAGTTAGGATCAAAGTGTGCAACTGTTCCTCCTGATCTATGATTTGCACATTTGCAAACAGTACGCATTAGGATCAGTCAGGACTGGGTTGGGTTGTGTTCGAGCTGGTTTGGCGACGTCTCCTACCTATGAGCCCATGGACGAGAGGTGAATACTGGTTGTCGTTGGGAAGGTAAATCCCCAGGAAGTCCACATTGACCGGGTGTTTCTTCCAAACACGGTGAAGCAGCACCATCACCTGGATCCTATCATTTATTGTGATGGTGACCTGATCGTTCTTCACTATAGAAATCCTCACCCTGAAACAGAATCGGAGTTAAAACCGGATGAAATCCTCTGAATGCTAGACGGGGCAGACTGACGAGCCTTGAGTTACCCGTCCTGGGTGATTTCAGCCGTGGCCCCCCAGGTGAACGAGTTGTTGTTCCTGCCGTCAGTCGTGGTGATGCGGTCAGTGCTGACCGTCACACTGAACCCTTCAGGCTGGTAGTAGACTGAGATGACCCCGAAGTAGGTGCTTAGTTTGCCTTTGTGCGCCATTTTGGAGCCGATTAGCTGACCATTAACAGCAACTCCTTCAAGACAGGATGAGACGGTTAGAAGCATTAAAGAGAGACTTCAGATACTTTGAAATGGTGTCCTGTGGCTGGTTATGAGCAATCAATATCTTACCTGTTGTAGATAGCCTTTTGTACAACTAAATCGATGAGCTGATTTTATGATTTAAACCTAAATTAATTTTCCAGCACATTTCCTTGTTTAAATAGAAGTTTATGTTTATTTGCAAGCGCAAATTCCAGCAGCAGCAGCTAGCTGTGTCTCTTCCAGTGCAGCCTGGTGCACTTTTGCAGGAATTTCATCGTATTTCTGCCAGAATAACCATGCAACGGCAATGCAAAGCTTCATAAAATAATGTGTGCATGATCCATTTGTTTTCAGATCACAGCGATGAATGATCTTGGCCACGAGAACTCAAACAGCCATCTACAACATGTAATAAAATACCATATGATATAGTTGTCCTTCAAAAGATCTGAACTATTCCTTTAAATTTCGCAGACATTGCAGCAGTAGTTGCAGGCAAGGCTTTAAAAATACTGGGGGGGGGGGGGGGGGGGGGTGAGGAAAAACGCATACAAACCACTTTTATGAACATCTTTTCCAAAACAAACTAAAAAAAAACGTGGCACCTGTTCCAGCGTCTGACAGCACGTTGAGGATGTGACCCGGTTTGGAGTCGATGTTGAAGCAGACGTCCATGTCCCTTCCAGGCAGGTGGATGATGAAGTGGGGGTCATCGTCCACTGTGTGAGGAACACTGAGCTGGTTAGGAACGCAGCAGGTGGAAACGTCATGATGCTCTGAAACCTTCACGTGTTACCTCTGTTAACGCCACGATTAAGGTTGGAAATGGTCTCCACTGGACCTATCTTAATCTCCTCCTGGTCTGAGGTCACCGTGGGTAAGGCGACCCACGGTGGAAGTGGAGGTGGCGTTGCATAGACCATATTAACAGGAGGAAGCCCAGTGTGAGTTGAGGCACCTGAGCAGCAGCCATGTTTGGGGTCCCTGGGGGAGTCGGCCAGCAGCCTCTCGTTGTCGCCCTCCACCAGCAGAGCGGTGAGCGGCGTGACAAACTGATGCTCCAAGGACAGAGTCTCGATCCGCTGCGTGATTTTTCTTTTTTTGGCTGCGGTTGTAGCCAAAGATCTGCAAGGGAAGCCAGCCTGCAGCTGTCAGTCACTGAAAACCAAACTACACTCTTCTTTTAGAAAGAGTAACTGCTGATTCACTTTCTAAAAACAAAGGTAGACCCGCCCGATATCTGAAAAACATGCTACACTGTTGTTGAATTAATGCCCTTTCTGTCAGAGACAATAATGTTTTGAGGCGCAATGAGACTAACCTGTATAAATAAAAGTTGAATGAATCTGTGTGTGTGTTTCCTTTGTACATTTAATACCCTGGCAGATGGCATAATGGTGCTTTTTTAAAGTATTTTCTACATTTAAATAAACTAGAGAAGTTGAATTTCCTGCGAAAATGCAGTGTGATCTTTATTGCAGAAGAACTTGTTGGAAAAACAGCTAAAATTAGTTAAAAACAGCTGTAATATAGCTGAACTGGAGGAACATGCCAAAGTTAGCAGAAGAAAGCAGAAAGAACAACTATTTGCCGAATTAGGGTTAAATATGTAGAAATGAGAACAAAAATTTGTTAATTAGCAAAAAAAAAACTAGCTGAAAAGTCAGAAAGAAGCCTACATTAAAAGAAGGATGTGGCGGGAGCACAGTTGTGCCCAATTAGGCTGAGAGACGCTAAAATGAGCACAAAAAAGTGAGAAATTTAATGAAAATAGCAAAAATTTGCACACAAAAACATAGAAATGAGAACAAAAATTTGTTAATTAGCAAAAAAAAAAAAAAAACTAGCTAAAGAAGCAGAAAGCAGCTTAAATTACCAAAATGAAGTGGAGAGAGCAAAATTGTGCCCAATTAAGCGTAAAGAACCAAAAATGAGCATAAAAAGTGAAAGATAACTAAAAAAAAAGGCAGAAATTTGCTTTAAAAACAGCTGATTAATAGCTAAAGAAGCTGAAAGAAGACAAAATTACCAGAAGGAAGTGGAGAGAGCACAATTGTGCCCAATTATACTAAAAGAAACAGAAATTAGCATAAAAAAGTAGAAATTACCATATGTGAAAAAGGCAGAGAATAGCTGAATAGTAGCTTAAAAAAAAGGCTGAAAGAGGATAAAATTACCAGAAGCAAGTGGAGAGAGCAAATTTTTGCTGAATTAGGCTGATAAAAGTTTAAATGAGTGCAAAAATGTGGAATTAGTTGAAAAGGCTAAAGTTAGCATAAAGCAGCTAAATAGTAGCTGAAATAGCTGAAACTTGCAGAAATAAGCTGAAAGGAGTTAGAAGAAGGACAACAATGTTGTAGTTAGCAGAATAAAGCTAAGAGGAACACAAAACAGCTGGAAAAACAGCTGAAAGTAGCTAAATTAATGTTTGAATTTGCACAAGGAAGCTGAAGCAGAACAAAATGTGAAAGGAGCAGTAAAAGGTTGTAAACAGATCTGAAGGATGTAAAATGAGCTCAGTTCATTTTCTATGAGAAAAAAAATGTCAGAAAAGGCTAAATATTTAACAAAAACTAGCTGCACCAATACCAAAGGTCATAGCAGGATTGGTCTGAAAGAGCTGAACATTTTGATTTATGATTTGTTGAAACAGTATAAAAATCGTGGAACGAGAAAGATGCCAAAAAAACATACAGAAGAAAAATGGATCACAATAGAGTGAATGCTTCATGAACAATCAAACAATTAGCATATTTTCTATAAATATTTATTTTGTCTTTTTAATCCCCGTGTAGTTTTTTTCATAGGTTTTCTATAATAAGTGCTTTGTATTATGTTCCCATGGCTGCCTTTGTTTGTCTTTTAGTGTAATTTGCATGGCTGGAGCAGAATAAGTAGAAAATCAATGGTTTTAAATGGGGGGGGGGGTGGGGGGGGGTTCAAGAGCATGAATCAGATTTGCAAAACTCATGATCAAATTTTTGGAGTTTACACACGTACTAGTTTGACTTCCTTTCTTCTTCATTTTTTCAACTACGGTATGTACGTACATCATTGCCTCAGGCATCCACCGAGTGGTGCTCTAGCACCCTCAGCACCCCCACTTAAACCAATTAGGGGTGAGGCTGGAAATGTTTCTCCCATCAAAGCGGGGGCGGCATGAAAAGTTTGAGAACCACAGGTCTGACTTGTTCTAATGAGAATCACATGAAGTAGAAAATACTTTGACATTATGAGACGTCAGCGGAGTTCGTGCTGTAAATGCTCACCTTTCACCGATCAGCTGCTTGATGGTGAGATAAGCCCACATCTGTCTGGCGAATCCAGTGAACGAGTGCTGCTGTTCGGCCAGCTCTTTGTCCAACTCGGTCGTGTCAGCGTCGATCTGCAAAGTGAGGTCCAGATTGGCCTGCAGGACACAATTGGGATAGTGGACACCGTTTGAAAGTGCTTTAAATGTAAACTATTGAAGATTAACATTTAATTCAAAAACATTTTAACAATGGTGATTTAGCCACTTATTAGGGGTGCTCCAGCAGCCCTAAAGTTAACTCAGCACCCCTGATAAATAAAGAAACCATTAGGATTTTGTAAAGAAACTAGCTCTCAAATCTTCGATTCACTGAAATATTGAAAAAAAAAAGGAATAAAAATTGAATAAACGATGACAAACAGGCCAGTAAAATCAGCATTATTGATTCATTTATTTTGCATGAGTTGGCTCTTCGACACCACCTGTCAATCAATAAACTGACCAATCAGCAATCTCAGTTTTTCCTGGAAGTGAAACGCCCCTTACCTGCAGGAGCTCCACCCCCTTTTCTTCTGACAACATTGACAAGGTTTTGCATTATGAACACTTGACAATCATAGGGATTTCATGAACAAACATCAGAAAAAAAATTATTAAATGTTGTCAGTGGAGCACATGTTTGGAGTGTTTAGAGGACGTAATGCAGTTTAGTCCATTTCCAAAACCTAAACGAATTCTGGAACAATGTAAAAGATGGATAAAAGCCGACGGCTGACATCATGATCAGCTGAATAGAGCAGTTATAAACAGGAAGTACAGCATGTTCATCTGTATGAAGGTAACTGCAGACAAATCCTCCATTTTTCTGTCATATACATTCTATGTTTAACGGTTAAATTAAAGGTTAATTAGTTGTGCTTTGTGTGTTTTGTGTGTAGATATATGTTGCAACTTCTGGTTGCATAAGTTTAGTCTTTGTTATGATCAGTTATCAGTTTTGTACAAAGCGTTTATTAGGTTGTGTAATGTAAAGCAGAGCGCTACATTTGTAGCATCTTAGCTAGCGCGTCTGTATCGCGTGCCGCTAGCTTAGTGCTACTTCTTGCTGCTCTCTAAAATTGTTATGGAATCAAGTGTTTACTTATGTAGGTAAACGTAGCTGTTTATAAAAACCGTTAAAATACGCCAGAATGCAGGAAACGGCATCTACTTTATTCCAAAATTTTGGGGGGAGGACCCCCAGATCCTCCACCAATGTGCTCCCCCACACCTTTACAAATGCTTCCAACGCCAATGGCCACCATGTTGTTCAAGCCAAGAGCCATTGTCAGCACTGGGGGCTAAGCGCCCCTAATGGTCAGATAATAGAATCGCCCCTGCATTTTAAAACACTATTTGGGACATATTAAATTGGGGTTCAGAAGAAAGGTTGTGAACAATTAATATCTTACCTGTTGTAGATAGCTCGTTGAATGACCTCAGTTCAAAGTGAGGGACTACTATGACATTTTGGAGTCTGGAGGTGGTGGAAGACCACAGCAATCTATTGTTGGTCTTGGCTGTGTTTGCACTAGTGGCTGTCCTCCAGTCTCCAACACTTTATTTCATTCAAATCCCAATATATAAACCTCTGTTAATTTATCCTGTCAGATGTAAACTGCAGTATAAAAAGGTCTTGTAAAGTGCTATCTACAACAGGTAAGATACTAATTGTCCAAATCTTTTCCTCAAACTCTACTCCAAAATGTTTAAATTGTTCCTTTAATCCTTTAGTTCCTTTAGTCTGATCAAAAAAATCCTACCTTTTAATTAAAAAACGCTGAAGTTTCCATAAAGTTAACTTTGTTTTAATGACAAAATGATTAGATTTCCCCTCCCCTGCTTGTTTGTGTTTCTTTAAACTCATCAAAATTATCACAATTACAGTATCTTGGGTCAACATGAGCCCTAGAAACAATTTGTTAAAGAGGAAACACGTTTTGTGACAAAGATCGAAGGGTCTTTTTGTTGGGCAGCAAAAGTTTTAAACTTAAAGAAAGTTTGACTCTTTGTGAAGTTGTTGCTAACCCAGCAGGCCTGTCTATCTCACTGAATCCACATGTCGGTGAAAAGTAGAGTAGTGAAATAGAGTGCGCATGTGCTCCACTCACAGCTGCGGCCGTAGTGAAGCTTGTCAGCGTGTTGGTCTCTGATGGCAGAACCCGCCCGGCCACCACCAGCTCCGAGCCGCTGAAGTACATATCAAACCGATCCCGGGTGACGTCTGCCACAGAATCATCTGGGAACTGAATGGCAATTTTCCTCATCAGAGGAGATGAAACCTGGCTGTAGAACGCCTGCAAACGGACAAAAAAACAGTAAAAATATGAGCATATCTTCTGTTTTTGGTTTTGGAAAATTCAAAGCAGTGTTTATAAAAAATGATTTCCATTCAGCTTTAATGAAGGGATGAGGAGAGCAGGCCTTCTGATGGCACTTTTGTCAGGTGCAGCGGTCGTACCCGTAGCTGTTCTGCTGCGTCGTGGTTGGCGTAAATCCTCTGGGCCATGCCCCTGTTCTCCATGGAGATACGTTCCAGGAAGTCGTAGTCCACATCAAAGCCGATGCCCACAGAGAAGAGCGAGAAATCTTCCCTCATCGCCCGCCTCACGTTCTTCTGTATGGCACTGAGTTTGATCTCTCCTGCAGAGAGAATCCACGGTTAAAAATCAACATTAAACACTAAAAATATGATGGCTAACATCCTCTCCTCTGACTGGCAGGGGTGCTTCCTCCTGCAAGAAGAGGTGGGCCTTGAGCAATTGGAGCCACCTGGGCTCAGTAATTTAAAAGAGAGCTAAAAGAGAGTGGGAGATCATGAACAAACTCAAAATAAGTTTGTGAGTCTAGTTTTTTCCTAAACCAAAAACGTTGGCGATATCCCGGACGAGCCCCCATTTATCACAGGCCCGGCTCATGGTCCATAACCAAATTGAGGGGAGACAAATGCATGGGCCAATTAAAATAGTTTTATTGCACAAAACAAACCCAACCAAAGATAATAAATATGAATGTGCAAGTTTAGTGCGTGTACTGTAAGAGTGAGTGGATGTGCCTCTGAAAGAATATGTCCAACCAAAACCAAACTTGAACAAAGGACAAAAAGAGTACCTGGAGGAGCAGGAGAGCGAAAAAGTTAGTAGAGCTCTCTTTAAAATTACTGAGCCCAGGTGGCTCCAACTGCTCAACTCCCATGCCTTCAGGGGGAATGACCCCTGCCAGTCAAAGGAGGGGCTGTGACACTAACACCGATCTTTCTCTTCTATTGTGCTCACAAGTGCCATCCTTTTTACAGGTTTCGTCTCTAAGCTTGGCTAACCATGGCTGAAGAGTTTAAACATGTGTTTCTGGTTGGTTCTTACCAACAGTGGGATCTCCATCTGACACCAGAATGATCATGGAGACGGAGCGAGAGTTGATGAAACTCTGACGCGAAGCCCTCGTTAGCATCTGAACCGCTCTCATTAGCGCCTCGTTGATGTTGGTGCCTGTTAGTAAAATGTTCAGGTGAGTCAGTGTATAACAGCAGACTATGAAGGGCAAACAGTTTGACCCAGTTGGGTCTGCTCCCACAGATTGATTACGTGACCATGTGGTACACAAATTACAATCAACCAGTCAGCGAATTGCACATGGTATGTGTATAAGCTCACCTGCCTTACATTTCTTCCATTCCAACCTCTCCACCACCAAAGAAGACCAAAGAAAGTCAGGGGCATTCTCACCAAGCTTTTTGTTGAAGGTCTTGTGGTCCATCCATATCTTTATCTTTCCTTTTTGAGTCACAGGGGTCACTGGTGCTCATATCCAGCAGTCACCGTGCGAGAGGCGGGGTACACCCTGGACAGGTCTCCAGTCCATCACAGGGCTTGTAATCCCAATGTCCTTTAACATCTCTTTGGTCTTGCTCATAGTGGTGGAGAAGTTAAAATGGACTAAACTGATTCTGTGAACTGGAGTGCTTTATGCACCAGTTGAGATCAGATATAAAACCAAAATGTCACACAAACACACAGTCTAATCAGGTTGTTCAGGATCAAATACTTGCTTCCCTTAATGATAGACAAATAAACTTTTGTGTAATTTTTCACTTTATTTTCATTTAAGATTTATCTCTATTTCAATGAAGCCACTGAAAATTAGAAATTGGTCATTTATGGACAAACTGTTCTTCAGTGCAGAATGCTTCTCTGTCGTACCTCCATTGGGTTTGATGTCCTCGATGTACCTTTTAGCATCTGCAGTCTGAATTATAGTGCCTGGGACCAGGTCCTCGTTCCAGCAGCGCACATTGTGATTAAAGTCTATGATGTTGAAATTATCTTTAGCAGTCAAGTCATCTAAAATAGCCTTCATGGCTGCCACCGTCTGCAAGAAGAGTTTTTAAAATTGAGTGCATTCTAGAAAATGGCCACATGAGGGCAGTATTTGCACGATGTGCATAAGAAATTATCAAAATGGGAACCTTTCTGAGATAATAAATGTAGACCGTTGATATTTACCTGCTTCATTTTGACCCCCCACATGGACCCGCTCACATCGATGACAAATACAATATTTTTAGGGAGAGGGGAGAGGTTCGAAGGCGCGAAGAAAAGAATAAAATGGTTGTCGGAAACCTAAATAGAAACAATAAAACCACACGTCAGACACATGCAACAAGTTTCTATCCATGTTAAAAGTAATAAAGCAGATATTTTACAAGACCCTGGATGAGTAAAACATGTGATACCTGGAGTTCCCCAGCATTGCTGTCTCTGTTCACGTCATATTTGACAGAGAAGACTCCATCGATGGCACTGCTGGTGCAGTTGTCACATTTTCTCTGCTGCTGTAAAGTGGGCTTGAAGACGACATGAGCCTGAGCACAGAGAAGAATCAGCAAAGAATAATTATCTCAAGAAAACAGCATTTCATTTAAAAAAAATAATAAATTCACTTTGAAAACAGGAGTTAAATCAATAAAATTGTGCCTCCTGCAAGTAAAAGTACCATATTTTTCAGACTATAAGGTGCACTTAAAATCCTTTATTTTTATTTTTTAAAAATCGACAGTGCGCCTTACGTATTAATTCTGGTTGAGCTTACTGACCTCGAACTAATTTTATGTGTTACAACTGAACAATGTTGAGAGTTATTGTGAACGAGTTGAATAAAGTTTGACGTATCTGACTGTTTTGTTTCACTTAATGCTCCGGTGCGCCTTATAGTCCAAAAAATACGGTAAATCTTTCTTAGCCATAAAAAGATACTGGCAAGTTTTATTCTGAAAATGTTATTACTGAAATATGAATTTGTGCTTTTGACCTGTGAGATGCAGAAAACTGAACCGAAGATGGAAATAAAAGCTCAAGAAAAATGGTCAAAATAAGCAAAAACCTTCGGGTTTTCTAGCTGGAATAGAACCAACAACTCATGAATTCAGTTGAAATCTGAAGAAAAAGCACAAATATACAAATGAACCAGGTGGAGGTTCTATGTCTCTTACCTTGTCTTCGGTTGACGTAACTTTAACGAAGTCTGCAAACTGAGCTCCAAGCGTGTTTGGTGTTTCCACGAAGGCAATCCCATTGGGCTCATAGATGTACACATCCACCTAACAACAGACTGGGTTAAAGAAGAGTTCAACCACACGCAGATACATCGTGAATCAGGATCTTCTCACCTGGAAGTGTGGCACCAGCCTCCCAGGCTGCAAGTACAGAAAATGCTCATAGAAGCCTAGTTTCCTTTCCATCATCTCCTGGTAGTGAAGCTCAAACTCAATGTTGCTGCCGGGAGGAACGTGGACCTCCGTCTTAAAGGTCTCCAAGTCCTGGGAATTCGCCCTGGAAGGCAGAAAAACATATTGATTGTGCGTCGTTGTGCAGCTGTGTGAATGAGTTCACCAGCGCTCTGGTGCACCTGACGATGCCTGCTGCCTTGTTTTCTGATCTGGCCTGAGCGTACAGATTCCTGGCATGGGTCTTCTCCTTCACCGAGCCCACAAATATGATGCCGTTCACGTTCCTGCGACAGAAGGAGAAGCTCAGATGGTGCCTGCTCCGTGTGACGGAGAGCTGCAGGAAGCTTGGCTCACATGGTGAAGTTGGAGATGAACGCTCGTTTGGGGATCTGCACGTTGAAGGCGATGCTCTGAGCTTTGGAGCCCGAGTTGACCACGGAGCTCCTGACGGTGACGTGAGCAAAGCGTGACGTGATGCGGCTCTCCACCTTGTAGCTCCTGACCGTGATGTCCTCTCCACTCACGACCTGGCCAGACAGCAGACGTGTGAGAGGAGTAAAGGCAGGGTTGGATGTTGCTCGGACATTTTCTGCTGTTCAGTCATCTTTTATAATTATTATTACGATTTAAGAGGAATCATAACTGTTGTTTCCCTGTTTATAGTTTCTTCTGTAGCTTTTGTTGCAATCAAACCACTTCCACATACTTTGTGCTATTTTAATAATCACTCACATTAAAACTAGGGATGCACGATATTATCGGCATGGTATCAATATCGGACGATAATATCGGACATCGGCCATTCCACCAAACTAACTCACCGATATAAAAGGCACTGTTAATATATATATATATGTGTGTTTGTGTGTGTGTGTGTGTGTGGGTGTGTGTGTGTGTGTGTGTGTGTACAGCAGAGAAAACTATGTAGTGTCTGTAAGTAGATCTAGGAAAAAACAATATCGGTATTAGTATCGGTTATCGGTTATTGGTTATCGGTCATCGGCCAAATAAGTTTTAACATATTGGCATATCAAATATCAGCCAAAAATCCAATATTGTGCATCCCTAATTAAAATAGTTGATTCCATCAAAAAAAAAAAAAAGGTTGATACTTGGATTATTTAATTTTATTTGTAAAATTTTCCTCGTAAAAATACAGTAAGATTTTATTGGCTCTTTCAGCACCATTTTTTTTTTCTCTGTCTACTTCAACATATTTTGTCTCTTTAAGCTCCTTTTACATTTTAATTAAAGTCAGTTTATTTATAGCCAAATCACAACAGAAGTCATCTCAGGGCACTGAACAGAAACATTCACAAACATAAAAAGTAAGCTAATAACATTATTTATCCGAGAGCAGACGAGTCTAACGCCATCGTAGACTCTCATCTTGAGCAAGCATGAAGGCGACAGTGGGGAGGAAAAACTCCCTCATGAGGAAGAAACCTTTAGCAGAACCAGGCTCAGGACAAGCGGCCATCTGCTTCGACCAGCTGGGTCATTTTACTGTCATGCTATACTTAGCCTTAGTAGCAGGATCAGCTAATTTTATCTTTTAGCTACAGTTTTGCTAATTACACCTTTCAGCTACTGTTTAACTGGTTTTAGCGACTGTTTTGCTAATTTTAGCTTTTAGCAACACAATTTAAAGAAATATGAGGAATATGTGCACAGCTGGCCTTCAGGTGGGGGAAAATGACACGATTCTTTAATTAAAACCATTATTTTGGAGCTATTTTTAATTTTTTTTTTTTTAAATAAAAGCAGGTTAAAACTTGATCGTGCGGAGAAGAAGCCACATCTGAGCGTGATCCAGGCGCGCTGCCATCGTCCCAGAGCTGGTTTCAGACATCTACAGCCGCTCAGTGACCAAGAAAGCCACCCTGATCACCGAGGACCCCTCATATCCACTACACAGCTGCTTCCAGATGCTTCCATCAAATTACCGAGTCCCACTGGCCAGGAAGAATATTTATAAGAAATCATTTGTAATGTGTTTTTTATTATGTTCTATTGTTGGTTCTTGTGTATGAATGTAGAGCGTGTCAAAGGAGAATAGACAAAGTTTTATCTTATCTTATCTTATTTAAAATGGACTGGGGCTTTGGTGAAGAAACGTCCAGCTGTGTTGAACAGCTGGACGTTCTTTAATCAGACACAAAAAAAGGGCAAAAACACAAGTTACTGCTTTTTTCAATGATGAAGGGCCTTCACAACATTTTGTTGGCATTAAACTCAAGGTGAGCTCGTTTTAAAAAAAAACTGCTTTATTTTTATTTTTATGTTTGACATTCATAAATCATTTGTTTCATTTAGCAAAGTCTGTTTTGAATCTTTGATAACAAGTCAGTCCGGTCTCATTTCAACCTTCTGGGACGCTTATATGTTGGAACTTATTCGGACTAAATATCTCCACAGCACTTTGTTAGTTCACGTGGAAGAATAAAATGAGGGAGCGACAAAAAGGGGGCAAACAGGGTGACATCGCGCAGAGCCAATAACCTGTCAGCCATGAGAATCTCATCAAACAGCAACGTATTGATCGTTAGATAAGCTTCAACTCTGTCACAGTGGAGGCAGCTGAAACAACAAGAGGCTGGTTTTACCTCATACTCTTCCTGCTCCTCGCCGGTCAGTGTGGCTCTCTGGAACAAACAAGATTTTGTTTAAAACACTCCGTCAGAACACGTTTCAGGTGTTTCTGTTCATGTTAGACATGCTTGTTTCTGTGAGATCAGGCAGATTCATCCAGCAGATCAATAACAAGTTGCAACAGAAATGACCAAACCCCTCACTTTGTGCCTCGCTCGATGATCCTGATGGGTCTGAGCTCCTGTCTGTAAAGAAAACGGACCATGAATCGCGTGAACGTCTTTGTGATTTTACAGAATTAAAGTTTAATTGTTGGTAGAATTTGCTTCTCGTATTGAAACATTAAAAAAAAGCCCCTTTTTATGAGAGGAAAACTGGGATTTGATTGACTAAATAACAGCAAAATGTGCATGGATTTTAGATTTGATGAAGAAGGTGCTGAAGATGGAGTAAAATCTGAAAATGGTGCTCACTATGATCTTATTTAAAGAAACGTCTTTCTGATTTAAACCATGCACGTTTTCCTGTTTTGTGATATTAAATAGTCTCAAAATTGTTCTCGGATTACCTTGTTTGGATCAGCAAAATCACGTTCTTTAAACAGAACATGTAAAAAAAACAATAGATTCAACGTGTGTGTACATTTGAGTAGAAATCTGTTGGCTTTTTGCAGGAGATAAAATAAACTTTAGCTGAGTTTCACCCTATTCTCTGACTGAATTTCCATCTTTTTAACTCACCACATCCTCCTCCCACTCTCCGTCTATCACAAACTCGAAACAGCAGCTCTGATGGGGGACCAGGAGGCCCAGAAGCAGCAACAGCAGACACCTCATGTTTTTGAGCTTATACACTCATATTCTCACGCGTGCATAAAAAATAATAAAAACAGCCCAGGCGTAGAAAGACGGTCCTTCTATAAAGGGAAACCTGCAGAGCTGAAAGCTGGAGGTTAAAATCCACTGAACCGATTGACGTCCAGCTCCTGTAAATATTTGTTGTGTGTGATGTAACGCAGTGAGGAGAAAGAAACTTTGAAACTTGACCTGCAGGGAGGATAAGTAGGATGGGTTTGAGTTATTTGCAGATTAAACAAAGATTTAAAACCTAACAGAATAATACACAACAAAAATATGAAACCTTATTATAAAGTTTACTGTGTGGACAAACATCTGCCGTATTTAAAACTAAAATTTTCTCATTATTTAAAGCTATAAACACCAAAGATGTATGACAAAACTCAGCTGTTTAATTACAGTATTGTAGCGATTCTGTGTTTTAGTTCTGCTCGTGTCGTTATGGTTATGTGTATTAGTTTTGTGTTCATTGTGATCTTTATGGTGATGTGTATAAAGTTGTAGGCTTCCCCTGACTGTCTCTGCTGGACTCCCACTCACATGTGAGAGATCTGTCATGTGGGCGGGGGATCAGGGGAGCAGGAGGAGAGGACCGGGAGAGGGGAGAGTTCGAGTGTGTTAGCGGGAGGCTAGTTCGGGAGCGCTACAGTTTGTTGCAGGTGTGAGCTGCGCCTCCGAAATAGCAGCTCGGTTTTTCAACGACTAATAAACCCGGTTGGTGGGAGTTCTACCTGTCGTGTCCTGGCGTCATTACATTGGTGTCAGAAGTAAACTTCATCGACGGAGCACCGCACCGCACCACCGTTTGAGCCGAGTGAGTGCTGTTAGCACGTTGTCTCCGCCAGCTACAACAGCGTCATGGACAGAACGCCTCTTCACGTGAGAGTTAAGTCGGAAAAAGAGGAGGACAGTGAGGCGTGGAGTGCAGAGCTTCATAAAATGGCTCGGGCGAAGGAGTCTCTGCGAGGCTCCGCGGCGAGGATGGCTACCGAGGCAGGTTTCGGCGCCAGCGGGAAGTCGGGGCTGTCGACGCCGTTGTCCCAGAGAGCGCCAAAAGATGTCAACGCGTTTGGCGGCGGCCATAACTGTTACAACGATGGCGGCGGCCATAATGTCGCTGTCCCGTTGAAGACGCCCAAGTACTCCGGTAGGTCAAGCTGGGAGGCGTTCCATGCACAGTTTGAGCTGCTGGCACAGGCTGGAAGATGGACAGTGGAGCATAAAGCCCTGCAGCTAGCTCTCTGCCTACAAGACGATGCATTGGACTGCCTGTTGCTGCTCGGCTCCGAGGACAGGAAAGACTATGATGCCTTAGTCGGAGCGCTGAAGAGGCGGTTTGGGCAATGTGTACAGCCAGACATCTTTAAAAATAAACTTGGCAGCAGGAGCAGGTTTCCGGGTGAACCCTTGCGTGTTTTGGCTAATGACATTGAGAGCCTCACACGGAAAGCGTATGCACACATGTCGTCAGGTGTACAGAATGAATTGGCGAAGGATCAATTCATCAGAGCCCTGTCACCTCCGGAGCTGCGTGTGCAGGTTCAGCTGATGCACCCCCAATCCCTACAAGACGCTTTGGATTTAGCAGTGGAGAGGGAGTGCTTGCTTGGAGTAGCAACTGGAGATGACCAGAGAGGACAACTACCAGCATGCAGATCTGCAGAGGGGGCGGAGCTGAACCAGGAGAAACCTGCTTGGGCCGCAGAGTTGGTGGAAATGGTTCGAGCGGGGTCAGCGCAGGACTCCTCTGGAGCCCCTGTCCGTTGTTGGGGCTGTGGCCAACCAGGCCATCTCCTCAGACGTTGTCCTAAGGCAGCCAAGAAGCAGGGAAACGACGCAGGGTCTGCATGGGGGGGGCATCGCAGACCCTTACCGTAGCCTCCACACCGTCGTCACCGGCAGGCAGGGTCCGACAGCACCAACAAGGGACCCTGTCTCAGACTTCCCCAGAAAGGGATTCGAGCCAAGGACAAGGGACCATGGTTGCGGTGGTTGGCCGCACTTGTGTTGGCGATTTTTGTTATGTTCCAGTCACAGTGGAAGGGATTCCCTGCACGGCCCTAATTGACACTGGTTCCACAGTAACACTAGTGAGGCCTGATGTGGTGACAGACTGGACTCGGATTCAGCCCACTACAGTGCAGCTGCGCACAGTCACAGGGGACATGGCACCTATGAAAGGGAGGGGGACAATGACTGTTAATGTAGGTGGCCGATCTATCACCCATCCTGTGTGGGTTGCAGAGGTGCAGGACAGGTGCATATTGGGGTTAGACTTTTTAAGGGCTGCGGGGTGCCAGTTGGATTTAGGTGGGGGGACATGGAGTTTTAAGGAAGGCCCTCTCATTCCGCTGATGCCCACAGCTTCCGATTCAGCCTGGGTGGAGCCTGTGGTCCGTCACACAGAACCTCAGATTGCAGCTGTTCGACACATCTCACCACAGTACAACCAGATTGTTGCCGCAACTGCCCCCACACCTACAAACCCTGTACTTCCCCCAGGGTGGGTGACGCATGAGACCGAAGATGCGTCAGTAACCATGCTGCGTAAGATCTGGGCTGAGAACTGTAGGGGTTTGGACGCCCAGCAGCAAGAACAACTGTGGCAGCTGCTCGTGGACTTTAAGGACAGCTTTGCCCTGAGGGAAGACCAGGTGGGTCGGACTCAGTTGGTGGAACATGACATCCTGACGGGAGATGCTTCTCCGATAAAATGTCGGCCCCGCCGGCTCCCCCTGGCCCGGCAGGAAGCATGTGACAAGGCAGTGTTGGGCATGTTGCAGGCTGGCATTATCGAACCTTCAGACAGCCCGTGGGCGGCTGCGGTTGTCATGGTGCCCAAAAAGAATGGAGAGTGGCGCCTGTGTGCTGATTACAGGCCGCTGAATGGGGTGACGGAGAAAGACTCATACCCACTTCCTAGGGTCGATGAGTCACTGGACCTGGTGTCCGGCTCCAACTGGTTCTCGTCTCTGGACCTTCGGAGCGGTTATTACCAGGTCCCCTTATCAACAAGTGCCAGACCAAAGACTGCTTTTTGCACGGGGCGGGGGCTGTGGCAGTTTAAAGTGCTCTCATTTGGGCTGTGCAATGCACCTGCCACCTTCTCCAGGCTGATGGACCGGGTGCTAGCTGACATCCCTCGCCAAGAGTGCCTGGTGTATCTGGATGACATACTGGTCCATGGCACCTCTTTTGCAGCGGCTCTGGGATCACTCCGCCAGGTGTTGGAGAGAATTAGAGCAGCGGGCCTGAGACTCCACCCAAATAAATGTCATTTCATGCAACAAGAAGTGACATTTCTGGGCCACCGGGTTGGAAGAGAAGGAATCAGCACAGTGGAGGACAAAGTAAAGATGGTGGCAGAGTGGCCAATCCCCACGACTCAGAGAGATCTTAAAAGTTTCCTGGGGCTGGCTTCTTATTACCGGAGGTTTGTGCGGGGTTTTGCAAGTATTGCGGCCCCCCTGTTCCAACTTCTCCAGAAGAACCAAAACTACGTGTGGACTGAACAGTGTCAAGGAGCATTTGACTGTCTTCGGAAAACTCTGACTGAGGCTCCAGTCCTTGCTCCTGCTGATCCCTCTCTCCCCTTCATCCTTGACACGGATGCAAGTAACGTAGGGGTTGGGGGGGTCCTTTCCCAGTTGGGGAAGGGGGGAGAGAGAGTGGTAGGGTATTTCAGCAGGTCCTTTAACAAAGCGGAGAAGCGCTACTGCGTGACAAGGCGGGAGCTGCTGGCGGTGGTACTTTCTCTGCGCCATTTTAAGTACTACCTGTGTGGCCTGCATTTCACTATAAGGACAGACCATTCTGCTCTACAATGGCTGATGTCTTTTAAAGAACCTGAGGGTCAGGTGGCCCGGTGGCTGGAAGAGCTGCAGTCCTACAACTTCTCAGTTGTCCATCGGGCTGGAGCTAAGCACGCTAATGCCGATGCCCTCTCCCGTCGCCCTTGTGCTGCAGGGGGATGCAGTTATTGTGACCGGAGGGAGAGGCTGGAGGAGGAACAGCTGCAGCGCAGCCAGCCAGGATCATGCCAGGGTGACTCAGTAATCTGCAGGGAGCTGCAGGCAGTTGGCACAGACAGCTGGAGGCATCAACAGGAACAGGATCCTGACATCCAGCCTGTGTTGCATTGGGTGGAGAGCCAATTGAAGCCACCATGGGAGGGGGTTGCTGTGTTCTCGCTGGCAACTAAAGGATTGTGGTCCAAATTTGAGGCTCTGCGTCTGGAAGAGGGGGTGCTGCAAAGGGCTTGGAAAGACCCCGCCACAGGTGAGGAGCGGTGGCAGATTGTAGTCCCCAAAGGTCTGAAAGACGTAGTCCTGCAGGCCATGCATGGAGCATCTGGGTCCGGACATTTTGGCGTCACAAAAACACTCCGTCGCCTCCGGCAGGGGTTTTATTGGGGCCGGTGCAGGAGGGACGTGGAGGACTTTTGCCGCCGCTGTGACCCCTGTACAGCACGGAAGGGGCCGACAGGTCAGTCACGTGCCCGTCTGCAACAGTTTGTTGTAGGGGCCCCTATGGAGAGAGTGGCTGTGGACATTATGGGTCCGCTGCCTCGCTCAGACAAGGGAAACTGTTATGTTCTGTCAGCTATTGACTATTTTACAAAATGGCCAGAGGCTTACGCCATCCCTGATCAGGAGGCAGAAACAGTGGCTGATGCCTTGGTGGGGGGACTGATTAGCAGGTTCGGGGTACCAGACAGTATACATAGCGACCAGGGCAGAAATTTTGAGTCACGGGTGTTTTCTGTCATGTGCAGCCGTTTTGGCATCCAGAAAACAAGAACAACGCCATTACATCCCCAGAGCGATGGTCTGGTGGAAAGGCTTCACCGCACCTTAGGACAGCAGCTGGCCATCCTCACAGCGGAACATCAGCGGGACTGGGATGAGCACCTTCCACTGGTGTTAATGGCATGCCGCTCAGCTGTACAAGACTCCACAACTTGCACTCCATCACTCCTCATGTTGGGGAGGGAGTTGCGCACACCAGCTGAACTGTCTTTCGGACGCCCTCCAGATGCACCTGCTGTTCCAGCCGGTCCTGAGTATGCCAGAAAGCTTCAGGACAGGTTGGAGACAGCACATGCATTTGCTCGGAGACAACAGGAACAGGCAGGCGTGCGTCAAAA